CTAATCTGCTCTCTTCCTCCCTCCCTCATCTGTAATAGCGGTGATTTAATTTAGCTATTTAACCTGTAATTCCAGCAATATTTATTGAGGAGCGGGGGGGTGTGTGTGCGTGCGCCATTAGCCACCCGACATGAATACACTGAGATGAAAATGAACGCCGCTAACTGCCGGTTGACCTTCGCCCTTATTTCAAGCCCTTCTCTCGCTTCCCTTTTTCATGAGCCGCGGCCGCAGTAATTATGGCAAATTGAATCACAGCGAAAACTGGATTCAGTCACTAATGAGAGTTTTATACTGTGTGAAACAGAGCCAGAATACCTAGAAGCACGGAGGGACACACACACACACACACACACACACACACACACACACACACAACATGTAGTGTCTTGGATAGAAAACATATGCAGACATGAATGTCTACTTAAAACGCACACACGGTAATCACAATGACAGATCGCTACACACACTGAAGCATGCTTCTCTTCTTTGTGCTGTCACAAAGTGTGCGTTTGTGTGCCATGAAATCATCGAACCCACGATGTGTGTGTGAGACGGACTAAAGTTACATGCATTTTGCCACCACCTGTATGTTTTGCAGTAGTTTTTTAAAATGTTTCTTTTCTTTTTTTCTTTTGAAAGTAGAAAGTAGTTGGATTTGTGGGACATTGCCTGTGCGAGATATCAATATTTAAAAGGTGACAGTTGACGTGTGTCAAATATTGCCAGTAAATGATATGAAAGGGTTGGAGTACTATATTGTGGAGGCATAAATTAGCAAGAAAAAACTGATTTGTAATGTATACACGTCAAAATAAAGCTCAGAGCTGCTAACAAATGCTTAGTTACCACTAATCCCAGAAGCCACAGGCTAAACGCTGGACTGAATATTCATTTCTCTGTAATCCACCAGCAGCAAAGAGCGAGATACAATTTCAGTATGTTGGTACAAAAAACATGTTTTATCAAGAATACATATATACAATATTAATATAGGAACAATATATTTATTTATTTACTCTTTTTTACTGTGTTTAATGTTTCATTGGGTCAGATTGTAATGTGTAACCCCACGTTGGAGCGGAGTACACACATCTTTGTATAGTTGTTTAGGGCCTCTGCACTCCTCACACACACACGCACACACACACACACAAAGCGGCCCACTTACTGTACACACATGGACAGTTGGTGTAAAGAGGGAAACACAGATGAGATCTCATTGTTCATTTCGAGGGGTCTTGATCAAAATGTTAAACATTTGTTTGTATTGTCAGAGCAGCTGTGTAACAAAGACACAATATCGACATAAAGATTTCCAATAGGCAAAATAATAGTACGGAATACGTGAACTGAGCTGTGCAACGTTAAAACACTGTAATACAATATGCAGGCTTTGTATTCACAAAGTAAACTTTTAGCCTGCAGTTAGATTTTTCACTTAAATGTGTGTACAATAGGCAACAAACAGACAAAGACAACTGGAAATGGATACAGGAAGAATTAGACTTGATAGTTAAACAATACAAGATGATTGAAGAAGTTACCTGTGTTGTTGAACCTATTCGAGGTTCCATCACACAGACTTTCTTCATCAACAGCTGACAAACGTCACTGCTGTATTTGCGCATCGCATCAGCAGTTTTTCTTCTTTAAATCTTCTACGTGTGGGAAGTAAATATGCCTGACGTCTTGGTACAGTTGGCGGTAGCGTAGTGCAGCTTTGTTTCCAGTCTCAAGTTGTGTGCAGTGAGTGTATCCTCTGTAGTGTGAGTTTGTTAGAGGTCAGAGGTCAGAGGTTTCCTCGGCTAGTGTGCCACAGTGTGTTCTCTTCTTCGGCTCTGGGTTTGGGATGTTGGGTTGTGCCTTGTTGTTCTCTATTTGTTGTCTTGTAATTGGGTTCAGTCTAATGGGGCTTCTGGTGGGGGGGGGGGCTCTTGTGTTGGTGTCCTAGAACCAGCTGGGCATCGCTCTAGTTTCAAGAGGGTGGCTTTGTTATGGAGCGTGTCGGGCTCACTTTCTTTTAGTGCTTGTAATTGAAATGTTCCCTTTTGAATTTTGTTAACTGGTCGGCCCGATTCTTGTGTGCATTATTTGGTTATTATTCTGTCCATTATTTGGTGTTTCAAGCCACATTCCGCATGCAGTCTCAATGTACGTTCTGTCCCATTTTGTAAAATCTTGGCTGGCTGTTTTTCTCTCTACCTCGCTCTCTTTTTTTCATATGGAAATAGGAAATAATGGGGTGATTAAATAGAGTCGTATATTAAAGTACAGCTGACATTAGAATTAGCATAATGTGCTTTCGCCTCGGGCTGCATACTTTATTTGCCATCTGCGTTGGACTCCGATCCCCTGGGAGGGCACAAACACACACACACACACACACACACACACACACACACACACACACATACACAAAGACTTGCACGCGCACACACTTACACACTTCCCCTAAACAGAAACCACGCTCCTTCCACTGCAGCATGAGAAATGGCTTTTCAGTGCAGAAAAACACTATCTCATCCCTCTGACACCAACACACACAAATAAACACACACACACCCCTCTGCTCTTAATTGTTTGGCTGAAATGAACATCAACTCTACCCCCCCCCTCATGAGCGTAGACTCATCTGCACTCATCGGGGGCGGGGGGTGCAGACTAGAAGTTCATCCGAAAGACAAAGGATGGAGGGAGGATCGTTCTCTCTCCAGTTTTTATTGATGAGTCAGTCGGTCGAGCGAGCAGAGAGAGGAATAGATGTTTCTTTTTTTGAGTGATTCAGCAGTAAAACTGCACAGCAGTGTGTGTATGTGTGTGTGTGTGTGTGTGTGTGTGTGTGTGTGTGTGTAAGCATAACAAGGGAAAGGTGGAGACCAAAGCTGAGGCATGGAAAAGCTGTTATTTTCACAGTATGTATGTGTGTGTGTGTGTGTGTGTGTGTGTGTGTGTGTGTGTGTGCACGCAAATGTGCTGTCCACTATAATTAAGTGGGAAGGCTCAAGACGACTTCTGAGGTGAACAGGTGTTGTCCCTCTCGCCTGTTTTCCTTAACACACACACACAAACACACTCACACACACACACACACACACACACACACACACACACGAACGCCAGGAGAGACGTGTTTCCATGAGAAGAATTGAAGAAGTGTCACGTCAAAGATAAATTAAAAAATGAGTTACCTGAGTGATACTTTTTCGCAAAAATCTGCAAAAACAATTATAGATACTTCAATTAAATTAAATTCAATACATTTTATTTTGTATAGCCCAAAGGGCCACCATCAGATAGAACCACCATCAGATAGAACCACCATCCACAGAAGCCTGTGGGGAAGGAAAGCACAACGACTTTAGGAGGGTAATGTTGGTTTATGATGACAGTGATATGATTAATATTTAAAATAATAATGATGATGATGATGGCAGCAGCGGGTGTCAGCAGGGCCAGGAAGGTGTCAGGACCAGGGTCCAGAAGGAACTACGATCTACGGACCCCTGCTAGGGGAGAAAGCACAAAAAAACTCCCGGAAAGAAGCTGAATTAGTCATGTGCATTAATTGTAGAAAGAGACAGTGAGAGAGGAGCTTGGTGCGTCGATGTCATCATTATGACACACATCTGTAAAAACTACACAATATATTGATCTGTTGATTTTATTTTTCATTACGCATGCGATTTGTTTCAAAATATTTGTTCAGGTTTGAGATTCCAGAAACTAAAGTTAATACTTCCATTTGTATAAAATGATATAAAATTTGCATGCGTAGTATATTCTTATATGAACACATCCTGAAAAAGACTTCTGAAAAATGTAACAATGAAAAAAATATTAGTATACATCGTCCCATTGTGTAACTGTGTGTTGCTGCCAGAAACAGCTGCAGCCACCTGCACACATACTTTTACAAATAAGTGAACCAATTACAGCAGCATGTCTTTCCCCTAGTATCTGAAATTAGTGTACGAGGTCAAGACAACATGCATTCATTTAATACAAGCGAGAACATCAGCCCAATTACCACTATCTGTAAGTGTGTGTGTGTCTGTGTATACTTCCTTTTGGAGAGCTCCTCAGCCTCTGTAGTGTGTTTGGTCTGGCCTGGTTGTACCTCAGTGGTAACAATTCTCCTTTGAATGCTGTGTGTAAAAGAACAATACAATTATTGATAAGACGGTGATATAAAACTACAGCAGGATGTGCTTTCTCAAAGGGTTTATTTCTGCCAACATTATCAGAGGTTGTTCCGTATGTATGCAGACTAGATGTTGAGAGATATACAACTGCATTTATTTACTAAACGTATTTATTTTAGAATGATCAATGTGTAACCATCATCCCTTTGCCCTTGTTAGTAATTCTATGCTATCTGTGATAGAGGTCTTATTTCTTGATGCACTCACTTGTCAGATTTTTATCCTCCTTAAATTCTTATTCTAGTAGTACTGGTACATCATTCATTAACAAAAAGAGTTTGACATGTCTTGCTTTGCAAACAGTTGCAGGGGGTTCATATTTTTTCAAGTCATTCATCCAATGCTCACAATTGATGTACATCTAACATAATGCTTAATGTAGGTGTAAACCCAGATGCAGCCCAATGCACAGAGCCACAATATAATAACCCAGCCGTGTGTAGGTAAATATTCCTATCCCCCCCATCCTCAGAGGTTAAGTACCTCTCAAAACCTCGATGCTTGGGACAGTACAATGTCACTGTGAAAATGTACTTGTCAAAAGTGTGACAAGTATTTAGAATTTACATTACAACACAATGAGCGAGGACATTTCTACTTCTACCTATTTTATCTTTCAAACTCATTGTAGTAGTAGGTAGTAGTAGGTTTGCCTTTGACCTAATACTCTTTGAAAAGATATCCATGTTTTGCATCATAATCTGGTGTGTCGGTTGAGATGCGCTCGATCTATGACTGAAGTCAGTTAGTTGTCAGCTGAAATATTGAATGTATTACTTTCTTTGTCTGTTGCAGGTGGCAAGGATGAGCCTTCTAGCTATATATGTACCACCTGCAAGCAACCCTTCCCTAGCGCCTGGTTCCTGCTGCAACATGCCCAGAACACCCACGGCATCCGCATATACCTGGAGTCCAACCCTTCCAGCACAGCCCTCACACCACGCATCGCTATGCCCCCACCCATGGGCAACAACTCCATCCCGCAATCCCCCCTCAGCAACTTCCTGGGGGACAACAACCCTTTCCACCTCCTGAGAATGACGGGCCCCCTGCTCAGGGAGCCTCCCCCAGGCTTCATGGAGAACCGGCTTCCCAACACGCCTCCATTCATCAGCCCGCCTCCCCGCCACCATCTAGATCCACATCGGCTGGAACGCCTCAGCGTAGAGGAAATGGGCCTAATCTCACAGCACCCCAGTGCCTTTGAGAGGGTGATGCGGCTTACTCCAATGGCCATGGAGTCCCAGTCCATGGACTTCTCTAGGCGCCTACGAGAGTTGGCGGGGAACAACAACAATACCACACCACCTTTGTCACCCAGCAGGGTCAACCCTATGCACCGACTCCTGAACCCCAACCCCTACCAGCCTGGGACAAAATCCCCTTTTCTGAGCACCCCTCCCTTACCACCAATGCCACCAAACAGCATCACCCCTCCCCAGACACAAAACAAGGTCAAGTCTTGTGAGTTTTGCGGGAAGACCTTCAAGTTCCAGAGCAATTTGGTGGTGCATCGGCGCAGCCATACTGGAGAAAAACCATACAAGTGCCAGCTGTGTGATCACGCCTGCTCTCAGGCAAGCAAGCTGAAGCGCCACATGAAGACCCACATGCACAAGGCTGGATCCCTGACAGGGCGTTCAGATGATGGATTGTCCACCACAAGCTCGCCAGAGCCAGGTACCAGTGATGTCACAGGTGAGGGCATGAAAAATCGTGATGGGGACTTTCAAGGTGAAGGCAATGAAGAGGAAGAAGAGGAGGAGGAAGAAGAGGAACTCGAGAATGAGAGTCGACCAGAATCAAACTTCAGCATGGAGTCTGAATTTTACCGAAACAGGGAAAATGGCTCCAAACTCCCATCAGAGAAGTCACAACTTGTCCTTGAGAAGATGGTTGTTGGTGGGGGGCTTAATTCTATACAGCAGTACAATAATTTGATAGTTGACAATCGTAAAAGGATGCCCTTCTCTAAGAGGGGCTCAGATGGCCAACGGGACACTGGGGATGAGGACTCAGTTGTTGGTGAGATGGACCACCACCAACAGGAAGAGAGGACAACCATTAACGGCCGTAACTGTGGCTCCGGTGACTCTTTTTCAGGCCTGTTTCCCCATAAGCCTGCCCCTATTACCAGCCCCAGCCTGTCAAACTCTTCAAATAAAAGGATCAAAATTGAGAAGGACTTGGACATTCCCCCAACACCCCACATACCCTCTGAGAACGTGTACTCCCAGTGGCTGGTAGGCTATGCTGCCTCACGCCACTTCATCAAAGACCCTTTCCTCGGCTTCACTGACTCTAGACAATCGCCCTTTGCCACTTCATCTGAGCACTCGTCCGAGAACGGCAGCTTGCGGTTCTCAACGCCTCCGGGCGACCTGCTGGATGGAGGCCTGTCAGGCCGTAGCGGCACTGCCAGTGGGGGCAGCACCCCTCATCTGGGCGGAGGTCCAGGCCGGCCTAGCTCCAAGGATAGCAGGAGGAGCGACACCTGTGAATACTGTGGCAAAGTGTTCAAGAACTGTAGCAACCTGACGGTGCACCGGCGCAGTCACACAGGCGAGAGGCCCTACAAGTGTGAGCTGTGCAACTATGCCTGCGCCCAGAGCTCCAAGCTCACACGCCACATGAAGACACATGGTCAACATGGCAAGGAGGTCTACCGCTGTGACATTTGCCAAATGCCCTTCAGCGTGTACAGCACTCTGGAAAAACATATGAAAAAGTGGCATGGAGAACATTTGATGACCAATGAGGTCAAAATTGAACAAGCAGAGAGAAGCTAAACTAGATTACCTGTTTCCATACTCCGTGCCACACTTGGGACTAGAAAAATAAACAGAAGGGGGTAGTTCTGAAATGTTAATTTCCTGTTTTCAAGAAACTGCCAACTGAAAAAAAAGTGAAAATAGAAATCTTAACACCAACAGAAGCTGTCTAAACTGCCTCATTTGGGGTTCCTTTTTAAACAATCAGTCAGTTGAGTTAAAACATAAGTGGAGCCTTTAACTGTGCAATAATTTCTGTATTTATTGGATTTTGTATTTTGGCATGTGCAGGTACAATATTATTTAGGATTTTTTTTTACTTGTTTTACTTGTTTGTGTTACTGTGTTGAAATCACATGATACCTGAGAGGTTTTTACAAGACTAAAGTCAACTTTGACTACTTTTTTTTGGGCCGCTGCTTGTAGGGAATTGTATATTACGCTAAATGTGTGATTTCTTGAAGAGAACTTCAATCTTCAATTTGAAAGTGGCGTTAACTGAGAATGCTAGAATTTTGTGAGATGATGATGATGATACGCGGACAACAATCCTTAGGCATTGTAGCATGAACTGAGTCTAAAACATGTCAATATAATTGGATATGTAGCACTGAGCGTCATATTTGACATTAAATCTAAAATCAAAGAGGATCCCAAGGTCTCCTCCTGAGAACATCATTCACAGCCAGAAGAAAGATTCTAGATAAGGCAGCTGCTGACTGGTACAACAACCATCCCTCATTTCCCCTGTTTTCCACCCTCCCTCCATTTTACCTCCATTAATAGATCCATGTATTATATTTTGCATAAAGCCATATGATCGGGACTACTATTTATTTGCAGTAAACTGGGAATTAAGCTGTTCCATACAAGTATACATAGAGCTAGAAATAAAAATGACACAAGACAGCAAACACAGGGACTTCTCAGGGTGAGCTATATATTTTTGTTGATTTAATTGTTCAATTTAAATTAGAAGTCACATGCTCTCAGATTTAGAAAAAAAATCAACACCCCTATGCATTTGATGTGCAAAAAAAGTGGTACAGCAAGTTTTCACTGGAATTTAGTGGTTATAGTGATTTTGTACAATCTGATCTCCAGGAATAGTTTCTCAGTTGGTTCTGCGGAAGTTTTGTGTAGAATAGGAACTATATACATATACATACGAGTGTGTGCTGAAGTAGTAATAGTAAAAAAAGCAGCATCAGCCCGCTCCATGCCCCTTTGTTCTTTTAAATATCATTATCCCATTTTTTTGTATGCCTCATCCTTCATAATGGCACTTTTTCCCTTTCAAATCAGACTGAAATCAGAGCTTTACAAAAACAACAGCCCTGAACTTTATGATTTTTGCATCCAACACACACGCACACACACACACACACACACACACACATACACACACAGCTGGACAGAAAAGTTAAATAGGTTCTAGAGCTTGGGATCTCTTGGCGCTCGTGCCCAGGGTTGATAGGCTATGCTTTCCCAATGTTGGCACTATAAAATTGAAAAATAAAAATAAAAAACATTTTTTGGACTGCCATCAAATTTGATATGAGTGTGCCTTGAATAATGATCTTCTTATTTATTATCTATGACAACTACAACACCTTTTAAGAAGGAACAAATTGAACAAGGAAAAAAAATAGAAAATGTGTTATGTAGACTTTGTCACAGAAATATTCAGATCAATACCTATGAAACAATGCTCAGTTTGGATTTAGGAATACCCAGCACAATATCAGTGTGTCTGTGTGTGTATATATGTATGCATATGTACATATAAAGGCACAAACCTATATATAGATATATATCAAATTCCTCACTCATAAGGACAAGAGTCTGTCCCACAGCAGAAAATTCCAGGAGTGGACAAAAGCCACAAAAAAAGTAAAAAAATTAGACTTGACAAAAAATCAGGAAATGCAGAACCTAAAAAATGAATTTAGTGCACTCTGTCTTAAAATAAGTTTACAGTATTGAAACAAGTACAAGGGTAAAATAATATTTGTGTGTATGTGTGTTTTAAACAAACAAGTATTTTTTTTCCAGGTTTGCTTATAAAGTTTTCTCTGAATGCCGTATTGGCAATGTGTATATTCTTTTCTTTTTCTTTTTTTCTTTTTTTGGTGACGGGTTTTAGTATATATATATATATAAATATATATGAATATATATTACATTTTTCTTGTTTACTGTAAAAGTATACCAGTATTTGTAATATTGGAGAATGCCTGGGCATTTTACAAAAATAGAAAAAAGGTTGTTTTTTTATTTTTTATTTTGCAGTCCAATTAAATTGTGGGTCTCTTAAAACTGTTTTTGTCACTGTAACTGTACAAGTCTTAAGTTTTAGTAACTTTTATTCTGCCTTGGGTGTAATGAAATAAAAAATAAACAAATTAAAAAATGACTGAACTGTAACAACCTTCGATTTGGTGGTGGGATAGCTCTTGGGGTCGGGGAAATGGTGAACATCCGTTATCCCTTGGAAACAACAGAACATTTGTTCTTCTTTTCAAACTGAGAATCCTAACTTGTATCTATTTTTCTTCTTCTGGAATGGATTATTCTTTAATGGATGGTTTGAAATACTTGTGTAGGCACTTGCTGTCTTTCCTAAGGAGCTTGTCTTTTTTATCTTGTGGGCTATGTGCATCCTTTTGTGCATCCTTTTGTGAATCGGGTACTCTGGGTCCCTTGCAGGGGGAGAGTGACTTTATGCCAATGACAAGATATTACTCACAGGCTGCCATTGGCTATTTCTCCTCTCATTGGGCAGAATAGATAACCTTACAAATTTGTACTGTTGTAATGAATCACGTTGTACAGAAAGGGATGTTTGACAGCCTTTTAGTGATGAAAACACGTCAATGTTTTGCTTACCCCTTTATTGGTTGTACATAGTTTTCTATGACTACGCTGTTTTTATTTGATTTAACCTCTATTCTTTATTTTTATTTGTTTGGGATTTTTATCTGGCATTGGCAGGGACTTGCTGTGTCTGCGTGTGGGGTTGATGGGGTTTTGCGGGGGAGTAGGAGGGGTGAGGGGGGGCTTTGGGGAGTCTATTCTTTTTCACCTTTGTGACCTCCATGTCAATTTTCAGGCAAATGCTTCCCCCATTGATATTTTTCGGCTTGAGAACAGAGCACAAATACAAGCTGTTAAAATTGTTCATCTTCTGCTTGTTTGTCTCATTTTCTTTGAGCTGGTCTGACAGAAAGGCTCCATGGCAACACACTGATGTACATAAACCTGAGATGGTATTCACAAACATCAACATTTTGCCCGAGGTTTTAGTCATAATTTGTCAGAAACATCTACTACCGTTGACAATCGTATAAACACATCAAATCAAAAAAATTGCCGAGATGATGAAAAATAAAACAATTCCATTCCTTTAATGCTATTTCACAAGCCCGTAGAAAGTGGTTGGTGCTTAGATAAAAGCTGGAAAGCTGAGGAATTTCTTATGACACATCGGAAAGTGGCGGGCACCTTTAGCGTCACAGAGGGTAGGCGCTGGGACTGGAGGCGGGGCTTTCAGGGTAGAGACGTAATGATGTTTGTGATGTCACTTTATTTAAATACATGAACTGACTTATAGGCTGCGGCTTGTGTTCTTTATAATGCGGCCCGCGGACGCCATTGGCTGGTTACAGTAAACGTGATCACGAGACTCTCGCTGTCTACTTCTTCTCTGTTAAAAGTGCACCGCACCACAAAGCAAAGGTCTATTAGCAGCACATGGAAAGCAAATGAACGAATCCTTCGGTCCACAGCAAAAGACTCAGTTCAATATTGCAGATAGTTTGGAACAATTTAACAATACAACGCAATGTAAGTCACTTTGGATAAAAGCATCAGCTAAATGACCGGTAAAGTAAAACAACTGACTAATACTTTTCACCTGTTTAAAGCCGACGGTTCAGACAAGGAAAGCCAACGTGGACGTGTCTAAAAACGTTCTAACGGCCATCAGAGGGCAACTACTCTGGTTCCAAGAAGAAGTCTGATTGTGTAGAACTCTGGGAAATTTAAACATTTTCCATTTCACAGTAAAGATTGTAAACGTAAGTGATCTTAATTGTCATTAAGACAGAAGTTGTACATTCATAACTGCATCAGTATATTAAAGCCCTTATAATTAAACCCGTAACCCTGGTTGAAAATATTTCTTCACTTTGAGTTAATCCGACAGTTTTGACACTTTATAAAACTAACAGACTCAAAGTATATCTTCTTTACTTCTTTAAGTTTTAGGAAGATTTTTGACAGCTGAAATAACTGATAAAAGTTGTGTTTTTTGATAGAACAGAGTCGTTTTATCCACAGATTGTGGAATCACAGGCAACCACGTCTTCTCTGGAACTGTTTTGCATGGAGGCTGCTGATTGGCCAACACAGCCTTACAGCAGAAGAGCCAGCTGTCAGTTTCCGCACTCGCTCGGCCCTCATGACTCCATGATAATATGTTTTGAGATCTGACTACAACTTGATGAAAATGGTGAAATGTGTTGATAATCTTTTGGATAAAAACAGGACAAAAAGAGTAAAAAAAAAATCAGGCTGAGAGGCAAACCTCATTACAGTCTGTTTTGGCCAAGTGGATTTTTAGAAATGGGTAACTTTTAATTGTATGCTGCCAACTGTAGAAAAACTAATAATGCACCATAAACAGAAATAAAAATCATTAATTCTCACAAAGCTCTGTTCGTCTATGACATCATTTACAATGAAAAGGGCCATGAAACAAAAATATATGATAAACATTGTAGTTATAGCATTGTAATGATTTGGCTTATATCAATAAATCATTTAATTTAAAAAATAGTAACTTTTTAATAACTGGGAATTATCTTCGTAAATAAATTATATTACCTAATTTAAATTTTAAATGCTGAAAATGTGTCCAAAGGCTTTTTAATTCGACATTTTTTACAGAGAGCAATCCCACCAATCAAACTAAAGTAACTCCAATAATGCAATATCAAACTATCATTATTTAGTGTTGATACGTCATATTGTTATAGTGGAACCCTGTCTTTTGCCTTAGGCTCTCATGCAGAAGACTCATGTCTGACGTGACTTTATTTTATCTTTCATTTTCATAGCAGGAGGAGGAAAGAGAAAAAAAATACCGACCCACAATTAGTCTGAGGGAGGCAAGAGAGTCGGACGGACCAGGGCGAGGTGGGATTTGGATGAGTTTCAAGGCAAATGGGTAATTAAGGCTTTTCCCTTGCCGGCCTGCACTTTGAAGTCCCCTACAGCGGGGATTATCCCAGCCAAGTGTACGAAAGCGAGAGCGGAGTAATGAGACCCAACGAGAGGGCCGAGAGATTGAGACAACAAGGACTCAAGCTTCACTCTAAAAAAGAAATCTGAAATCACCAGTCATTTATTTTAAATAATTAATTATAGAGATTGGTGTCGCAGGTAAAACAACATCCCAAAATAAACATCACATATTTTAAATAAATATGAAAGCAATGAAGTAAATATAATTGTCAGTCAAAATAAAACTGCAATATACATTTTGGTTCCAAATTTTGTATATATACAATACTGTTTATTATATTACGAGATTATATATAATCTCGTAATATAATAAATGTTTTAGACTTTTGGTGGTACAAAACCTTTAAAAGACGTCATCTGGGACATATTTTATACCCTAATCAAGATAATAAATCATGTAGAATAAAAAAATAGATTTAGGATCAAAGTCATTTTCAGTGTTATTATAAAAGATGACCATATTTTAGTGAGAGATTTTCAATACGTTTATTTCAGTAATTAAGGCTCCTTCTTTGTTTGTTTGATCCACTGTGGCACAGCAGAGCTGCGCTGTGACAGGATGAGGAAGTCCTCCTCCCAGCCACCATTCGCTCATTATTATCCCTGCAATCTGCTTTTATCTCCCCTGCTTTAGTGTGTGTGTGCGTGCGTGTGCGCGTGCCCGTGTGAAGGGAGGTTGGATTAAGTCAGACCGACACCTCTGGTTATTCAGAGGTATGGAATTATTTCAAGACCCTGACTGGCTGTCAGCGCTCGCTGCGCCTCCTCCCCTCATTAAAAAAAAAAAAGAACCAACTTCAAATGACTTAAGCCGCTGGTCGTCAGCTCCAAAGCCACACTGTTGACAGGTACAGTAGGGTCTTAAGCCTTCAAGATCAACGCCGCTATTCTCCCTGACAAAATCCCCCCGCAGGGCTCCTCCCCGACTGGATGGCAGAGGAATTAAGGAGGGAGGCGGAGGGGAGAGAGAGAGAGAGAGAGAGAGAGAGAGAGAGAGAGAGAAGGGGTCAGACGAGGAGGTGTCACCATGTCAGGAGGTAAAGCTGGGAGGAAAGGAAAAGCACGGCTACTTTCATTAACGCAGAGGTTTCACGGCCAATCAGGGGGGGGGGTCCCTTGGCGTGGCTGCTAATTATTAACGTTATCATTCGCCAGCCTCGTCCCTGTCCGATTGATTGACATGGCGGCTGCGTGGCTCTCTCAGAAATCGCGCCTCTCGGCTGCACTTCATCCGGCACAAGTTCACCGGGCTCAATTTGAGTGCAGCGCTATGCGCAAATAAGAGAACATAAAGAGAACAAAAAGGAGAACAAGGGAACTGATTGTGAGTTAAATGCTCCATACATGTTGAGAGGTGGCTGAAATCTCTGTTTCCCTTTGAATCTGCACATTTTTCCACCACAAAGGCTCCTATTGCTGATTCTCAAATAAATACACCTCAGTGACAAAGCAGAAGCCATTGATTCATTTCAACCTACTATCCCAGACACCTAGACAATTACACAGATGTCGTTTGTTATTATCTGAAGGAATCAAAGCTTTCATATTTGGGAGAAAAACAAGCGAAACAATCACGAGTTAAATGCGACAATAATTTCTGAAATTGAGGATTGTGGCATCTTAAGCATTTTATTCCCTCTTTTAATGTGAGCAAAGCGACGAGCTGGGCGAGTCCTTCAAGAAGAGACGGAGGGGAGAGATACAGGGAAGTAGTGCGTTGTAAGCACTGAAGGCGCTCCATGAGAGGCGCGTGGCGTCTTTTTGATATTCAGATTCGTCTGCCTGCACACGGCATTATGACACATTTGGATGATCGTATTGTGGGATTAACGGGCCTGCCTTGTCATTTCCAACAACAATGCCGCGATTTAGGGATGCTGTTTCTCACACCGCACTCCGCATTAACGCCCAGCCCAAAGATTTACATAAATCTTTGTCTTAGGATGAAAGCGGAGTGGGGCTTGAGACAATGAAGTTAAGCTTTGGAAATAGGAAAGAGAGGAGAGGAAGGGGAGCCGTCACCAGGCATCGGTGGCACGAGGATGAAGGGATGGGAGGACGAAAAGTTTGAGGATAAATCAACCAGTAGTCGAGCTGAATTGAGGAAACGCGTGTATATGGATACAGAAGGAGAATTTGCATTTCCCTATCCAAGAGCAGGGGATGCGGTTTGGGAGGGAGGGATGCAGGTGAAGGTGAATGCATGTGTTATTTAGTGTTGCATCGCTGGATGAAAGGTTTCTTCTTAGTCATATTCTGTCTTTCTAACCCCCCCTCCGCTCCGCCTCACTCTGTCCTTTAATCTCTTGGCCTGCAGCAGTCATTGGGAAAAGTGCCCTAGATTGTTGTGCCCCCCCCCCTCCCCTCGTCTTGATTGGATTCATCTTTGCTGATTGGGAATCTGCTTGCATTAAAGCCAGTGGGACGAAACAGATCAGATACCTCTGACCAGTGAAAGTGTTTTTAGGTTTTATTTCAAATAGAGGGGAAGTTACCGGGGTAAAAACCTGCATTACAGGCCGATAGAGACATTATCAGTTATCACAGTTATTGCCTTGTTTCAGAGCTTTTATTTTACACCCCCGCCAGGATTGTAGAAATAAAGACCAAGCAGGGCGAAACGAACATGGTGTTACACGGCCTTCTCACCACAGCATTTGAAAAGTATATATGATACCAAAACAATCATTCGTCATTCAAATATTAGACAGATTAATGACAGATTTGGCATTAAAGAAATATAGTTCCCAATTCTCCAAACATAAAACTATGTACTTGAATGTTAATATATGTAAAGAAACTGTACTTTGAGCAATGTTTCGTAAGGAAAATGAAGGCCTAATGACATGCAGTGTCAAAGAGCTTTGAGGGGTC